ATCAACCTCTATGTTCACAATTGATTTTATTACTGGCCAAGTCAGATCCCATTCTGAAATTAGGCTTGACAGATCATATCTTTTATTTTGGTAGATTAATTAATCTTTCACTGAAACACAAGCTCGTGATGCTGCAGATGTAATTTTATCAGTAAAACAGAATTTTATTATGAAAAGGAAAAGAAGACAAAATAGAATAAACTAAATTATTTACATATAACACAAGCAATGTGGCACAGCCACTTGGATGTCCTGGGCATGCTGATTAACATGCTGCTGTATTAGAGTCATGGAGCACTATAGCATTGAAACAGATCCTTTGGTCCAACTCGTCCATGCTGACCAAATATCCTAAACTAATATAGTTCCAATTGCCAGCATTTGGCCCATGTCCCTCGAAACACTTCCTATGCATGTACACATTCAGATGCCTTTTAAATATTGTAATTGTACCAGCCTCAACCACTTCCTTGAGCAGCTTGTTTCATACACGCACCACGTTCTGCGTGTAAAAGTTGCCCCTTAGGTCCCTTTTAATTCTTTCCCCTCTCACCTTAAACCTATACTGTCTAGTTTTGGACTCTCCTACCCTTGGCTATTCACCCTATCCATGTCCTGCATGATTTTATAAACTTTTATAAGGTCATCCACCCCTCAGCCTCTGACGGTCCAGGGAAAATAGCCCCAGCCTATTCAGCCTCTCCCTATAACTCAAATGCTCCGATCCCGGCAAGATCCTTGTAAATCTTTTCTGAACCCTTCCAAGTTTCACAACATCCTTCCTATAGCAGGGTGACCAGAACTGAATGCAGTATTCCAAAAGCGGCCTAACCAATGTCCTGTATAGTGGCAACATGACCTCCTAACTCCTATATTCAATGCACTGACCAATAAAGACAAGCATACCAAACACCTTCTTCACTATCCTGTCTACCTACAACTCCAATTTCAAGGAACTATGAACCTGCACTCCAAGGTCTCTTTGTTCAGCAACACTCCCCAGCATTGACTTAATTATGCATAAGTCACTACTGTACATGTCTCTTGGAAGTCCACACTGCAGAAAAATATATCCAGGAAATGTAGAAAATGTGGTTAAAGATTTTGAAACACAGAAACTACAATCCCTTTAATCCAACTTGTTACAACACTAGAGAGAATTCTCTATAATACAGAGGGTTTGACTTAGCTTTGGCTTCAATAACCAGTTTGGAGAATCTGATCACTTCTCTTTTGAACCTTCATACAACTGAGTGTAGACTTTATCAGCCTCAAATTATCCCACTGAAAAACAAAACCGCAAGTGATGCCAACCATCCCAGCAAATTGAGGCATTTAATAACAAGCGGGACAGAACACCAATGCTTCACCGGAGGCGCACTGACGATGTTACCTAGCAGGGTGAGAAAACGTCTGCGATCAAACACAAGGGCTTGGTGAGCAAGTCTACAACCTCATCCACAGCCCGAGCTACAAATCAACTCAAAAACTTTCAAATTATCTGTTTGCGCTTTAACCAAATACTTCTGGCCTGGAACTTTAAAACAAAACTCCTTACATGGAGGTAACCAATTTCTTAGCAGTTCTATACTGTCTCCCTTTCTCAGGAGCAGTTGTTTTATACATCCAGCTTTAGACAAGACTTCTACAAAACAGAAACGCCAATTTTTTTCAAGCGATGGCTACTTCCCCCCCGCTAAAAGTAAAAAATATCCATTCCTGAACTTCTATACTGAATGCCTAATGCACAACTGTATTACTTTGGTCGTAAAACTCACCCAGTGCATACAAGACAAGCTCTCTTTCCCCTTGTACTGCTTTTAAAACAAAATTACTACAGTGACAGAGATACTTTCTAGCTAATTGTTAACCTACTGAAAAATCAAATGCCAGTAGTTCAAAATTCAAATATAATTGATATTAATATATTGTTAAATTATACATCTTACATCATAAGTGATAGCAATATGGGTACCAAGTTAATTTACATTTTCTTCTTCACATGAGAAACTAAAAACTGAAAATCTCGCAAGATCTTTCTTTAAACAGGGGGCATTGCGATCATGGAAGCATCATACAATCAGTGGGCACTAAATCCACGAAGATAGGAGAAAGAAAGGCCATTGTGGAGTAGTCTACAGGTCAGATTACATGAAGGTGCTTGAGAATTTTTATTTTATTTATTAATAGGATATGAGCATCATTAGTTAGACCAGCATTTATTGCCCATCCTTAATTGCCCAGAAGGCAGTCAAGAGTCAACCACATTACTGTGGGTCTTGACTCACAGGTAGTCCAGATCAGGTAAGGACTAGATGGTTTTTCTTATAGAAAACAATGGCTTTATTTTAACAAAAAAGAAGAAAAAAGCTAGAGATACTATAAACATGAAACAGAAATTGCTTTGAATCTTCTGAAGGTCACTGGGCCTGAAACGGTGACTCTGCTTTCTCTCCACTGATGCTGCCAGACCGGCTGAGTTTCACTCTGATGGTTTTATAGTCATCATTATACTGTTAATTCCAGGTACTTTATTGAATTCAAACTTCACTATCTGCCTTAGTGTGAGTTCCTCAGAAAATTACCTGGGTCTCTGGATGAATAGTCTCGTGATAATACCAGCAGCCATTGATTCCCCTGTAGTTTAGAAGGGCAGAGATCTGGCCCATTTAGGAGCCATGAACCCTCTTCATTGTGGCTATGAACAGTTCTCACTGGGACCACTGGCTGGGATTGTATTCTCCCTGGATTGCTGTCTGGAAATATGTCCCCTTTGGTATCATTGTGAGATTGTGTTTTGTCTGGGATCACTATGTGGGTATCTAATACCTGGTTTCACTGTTTTGGATTTGTCAGAGCACAGAAAAAGCCCATCGTCCTATTGAGTTTGCGCTGATCTATCTACAATAGTTCCACTTTCCAGTACTTCCCCCATAGCTTTGAATGTTATGACATTTCAAGTACTCATCCACTTTTTACTTGTTGAAGGTTATGAGGTCTCCCACCTCCACCATTCTCCTACCACCATCTGGGAGAAAGTATTATTCCTCAAATTCCCTCTAAATTTCCTACCCTGAATCTTAAAATTATGCCCTCTCATTACTGACCCTTCAACTAAGGGGAACAGTTGCTTTCCATCCACCCTGTCCATGCCCCTCATACTCTTTAATCAGGTCCCCTCACAGCCTTCTCTGCTCTAAAGAAAACAACATAAGTTTATCCAGCCTCTCTTCATAGTTAAAATGCTCCAACCCATGCATCTCCTCTGCACCCATTGTAGTGCAATCACATTTGTCCTATGGTGCGGTGACAGAACTGCACACAGTATTCCAGTCAGATTCAAGATGGCACAAAGACAGGGCGATTCTTTGCCAGCTCTCTATCACTGATTTTATTCTCAAATCAAACAAAGAACTGCAGATGTTGAAGATCTGAAAGAAAAACAGAAATTGCTGGAGAACTTTAATAGGTCTGGCAGCATCCATGGAGAGAAAGCAGTTAATGTTTCAAGTCCAGTGACCTTCCTTTTAGAATCGTTTGCCTAACCAAAATTTTGTACAGTTCCAGCAAAACCTCCCTGCTCTTATAATCTGTGCCATGACTAGGATTTGTGCTCTGTCTGGGATCACTATTTGGTATTATGTTATCTAGGATCAGATAATGGTGTACCTGGGATCGCTATGTGGTGTCATGTTTTCTCAGGGATCATGATGTGGAATTGTGTTCTTTCTGGAATCATGGTTAGGGATCATACTCTCTCCAGGAGATTGTTAGAATCAGAGAGTCATACAGCAGGGAAAGAGACCCTTTGGTTCAAGTCGTCCACACCAACCAGACATCCCAATCTCACCTAGTCCCTTTTGCCAGCATTTGGCCCATATCCCCCTAAACCCTTCCTATTCATATACCCATCCAGATGCCTTTTAAATGTTGCATTGTACTCACCTCCACCACTTACGCTGGCAGATCATTCCAAACACGCAACTCTCTGTGTAAAAAAAGTTACCCCTCAGGTCCTTTCTAAATCTCTCCCCTCTCACCTCTACCCTATTCCCTCTAGTTTTGGACTCCCCCACCCGAGGAAAAAAGACGTTGGCTATTCACTCTATCCATGCCCCTCATGATTTTATAAACTGCTATAATGTCACTTTCAGCACCTGACATTACAGGGAAAGAAGACCCTGCCTATTCAGCGTCTCCTTATACCTCAAACCCTCCCATCCCAGTAACATCCTTGTAAATCTTTTCTGCAGCCTTTCAAATTTAATACCATCCTTCCTATAGAATGGCAGCCAGAATTGTTTGCAGTTTCTAGAAGTGGCCTAACCAATGACCTGTACAGCTGCAACATGATGTCCCACTTCCTATACTCAATGTTCTTACCAAATGCCTTCTGAACTACATTGTCTGCCTGCCACTCCACGCTCAAGGAACAATGAATCTCACTCGAAGGTCTCTTTCTTCAGCAACACTCCCCAGGTTCCTACCACTAAGTGTATAAGTTCGGCCTGGTTTCCCCTGCTAAAATGCAACAACTCATGTGTTCTCTCAAATCACTGTCTGGGATCGTGCCCGTCCTGGATCACTACCTGAGATCTTGTTTTCCCTGGGATCACCCTTTGGGATCATGTTCTCTCCAGGATCCCTGTCTGACATCATGTTCTCTTCAGGATCGTGTTTTTCCAGGATCACTCCCTAGGATCTTGTTCTCCCTGGGATCACTCTCTGGGATTGAGCTCTCTCTGGGACCCTTCTCTGGGATCATGTTGTCCCTGGGATCACCCTCTGGGATCATGTTGTCCTTGGGATTGTTCTCTCCGGGATCACTCTCTACGATCTTGTTCTCCCTGGGATCACTCTCCGGGATCATGTCCTCTCCAGGATCACTCTCTGGGATCTTGTTCTCCCTGGGATCATGTCCCCAAACCTAATTCAGGAATGATCAGCTCGTGAAATTTTAAAGCAGTGGAAAAGAAAACTATAAAAAATTAACGACGTACATAACCGGAGGCGAACGGGACAAAGTGGACTATAAACAAAATACTCGGACCTTAACCGCCCGCGTCGGCTGACTGAGAGCTCTGCGCATGTGCAGTGCTGGGAGGTCCATGTGAGGTTCTGGGAGGACTGAGAGAGCCCGTCGGTAGGACGCCGATCCTGCCGCCAGCACCGTGTCTTTGTTCAACAACAGCAGCACGAGAGGCTCAGGTAGAGGAGGGAGAACAGAGGGGATAAAGCATGGGGCTGGGGGGGCGGGAAATGGGGAGATCAGAGGGAATGTGGGGGCTAGGGGCAAATGGGGAGATCAGAGGGAATGTGGGGGCTAGGGAGAAATGGGGAGATCAGAGGGAATGTGGGGGCTAGGGGGAAATGGGGAGATCAGAGGGAATGTGGGGGCGAGGGGCAAATGGGGAGATCAGAGAGAATGTGGGGGCTAGGGGGAAATGGGGAATAAAGCGGGTTGGGGAATTGGAGAGATTAGAGCGAGTGTGGGGATGGGGCAAATGGTGAATAAACGGGATTAGAGGGAAATGGAGAGATTAGAGGGTGTGTGGGGGTTAGGTGGAAATGGAGAGATCAGAGGGAATGTGGGGGAATACAGAGGTTGTGGGCGTTAGGGGGAATGGAGAGATTAGAGAGGATGTGGAGTTGAGGGGGATGCGAGGGTTAGGAGAAATGGGGAGATTAGAGGGGATGTGGGGGTTGGGGGAAATGAAGAGATTGGAGGGGATGTGGGGGAAGTGGGGAATAAAGGGGATCAAAGCAAAATGGAGAGATTAGAGGGAATAGGAGGGATGAGGGAGGAGGAATGTGGTAATTATAGGGAATGAGGAAAGGTAGGATGGACGAATGGAGTATAAGACTGGAGAGGGACACGAAATGTTGGAGTTTTGGAGAGCAGGATAAATGGAGGGAAGGGGAGCGGTGGAGAGAAAGGGCTAGAGATCAGTAGGAGAGCAAATCCTCAGTTGAAGGATCAAGTGTTTTTTGCGTAGAGCAAGGGATAGCAAACATTTAGTGGCACTTGTTTCTGAGCCACCAAACTGTCATGTAGTTGTGGGCACAGTATAAATCCGGAAATTAGAGATGCATGTGATGGTGGTGATACAGTAATAATGGGCAGCTTTGAATTGCATGTACCCTCGAAAAACATAATCAGTGTTAACGCTGTGGAGGATGAATTTGTTCAAGATAGGTTTCTGGAGCAGTTCACTGAAGAATCAATTAATAATTGGGCTATTTTAAAGTTTGCATTATGTAACAGGAAAAGGCTAATTAAGGAGCATTTGAGAAATAGTGACCATGTTATGGTAGGATTTCACTTTGTTTGAATGTCATATAGTTTATTCTGAGACTCAGGTCTTAAATCTGAACAAGATCCAACCCTATTGCAGGAAACTGAATGGTTGATAGGCAAGTTGGCTGTGGTGGTTTGGAAGATATGCTAAAAGATTAGATGGTAGACAGCCAATGGCTAGTATTTAAAGAAGTATTAAGTGGTCTAGAACATAGAACAGTACAGCACAGCACAGTACAGGCCCTTCGGCCCATGATGTTGTGCCGACCTATTATCCTACTAAAATCAATCTACCTTGCATACCCCACATTTTACTATACGCCACGTGTCTATCCAAGAGTCGCTTAAAAGTCTCTAAAAGTATCTGACTCCACTACCACTGCTGGCAGCGCATTCCACACGCCCACCACTCTCTGTGCTAAGAACCTACCTCTGACATCTCCCCTATACCTTCCTCCAATAACCTTAAAATTATGCCCCCTAGTAATAGTTATTTCTGCCCTAGGAAAAAGTCTCTGACTATCCACTCTATCTATGCCTCTCATCATCGCGTACACCTCTATCAAGTCACCTCTCATCCTTCTTCGCTCCAAAGAGAAAAGCTCTAGCTCCCTCAACCTTTCCTGATAAGACCTGCCCTCAAGTCCAGGCAGCATCCTGGTAAATCTCCTCTGCATCCTCTCTAAAGCTTCCACATCTTTCCTATAATGAGGTGACCAGAACTGAACACAAAATTCCAAGTGTGGTCTAACCAGAGGTTTTATAGAGCTGTAGCATGACCTCACGGCTCTTAAACTCAATTCCCCTGCCAATGAAAGCCAACACACCATACGCCTTCTTTACAACCCTATCAACTTGGGTAGCAACTTTGAGGGAATTATGGAGGTGGACCCCAAGATCCCTCTGTTCCTCCACACTGCCGAGAATCCTGCCATTAACCCTGTATTCTGCATTCAAATTCGACCTTTCAAATGAATCACTTCACATTTTTCTGGGTTGAATTCCATCTGCCACTTCTTTGCCCAGCTCTACATCCTGTCAATGTCCCATTGCAACCTACAACAGCCCTCCACACTGTCCACAACTCCACCAACCTTCGTGTCATCAGCAAACTTACTAACTCACCCTTCCACTTCCTCATCCAAGTCATTTATAAGGATCACAAAGAGAGAGGTCCCAGAACAGATCCCTGCGGAACACCAGTGGTCACTGAGCTCCAGGCTGGATACTTTTCATCTACTACCACCCTCGTCTATTGGACAGCCAGTTTTGTATCCAGACAGCCAAATTTCCCTGAATCCCATGCCTCCTTACTTTCTGAATGAGCCTACCATGTGGAACCTTATCAAATGCCTTACTAAAATCCATATACACCACACCGTCTACAACAGATTCTTCTAAAGCATAAATACCCAACAGAGGTGATTCAGCTGTGGCTATCAAAAAAAGAAAAGATTGCATTCGATCAAAGGAAGTGGCTTATACGGATGCCAGAATATGTAGTAAACCAGTACATTGGAACCATTTGGAATTCAGCAATGGATGACAAAGAAACTGAAAAAGAGAAAGGAAAATGATAATATGAACATGAGTCAACAAGAAATATTATATGGGCACAATGACTGCAGGGTGGATGAGAAGACACAGACCAGGAACAAGAGTAGGGGTTCTGAGGAAGGGTCACTGGACCTGAAACGTTAACTCTTATTTCTCTCCACCGATGCTGCCAGACTTGCTGAGCTTTTCCAGCAATTTTTGTTTTTGTTTCTGATTTCCAGCATCCTCCGCTCTTTCAGTTTTTACAAGAGTAGTCGATTCGGCCCTTCAAGTCTGCTCTGCCATTCAGTAAGATCCTGACCGATCTGATTTTAAAATTGATAGAAAAAGGACTGCAGGGTAGTTTAGCATACTGTTTATGGCCCCACCATGCAGATTGTCATTCAAGTGAGGGAATGAAAATAAGTTATTTTTTATTTGTTCATAAAGTGTGCGCATTGCTGGCTGGGCTAGCATTTATTTTCCTTCCCCAGTTGAGAGACAACCACATTGCTGTTGGTGTGAAGTAGGTCAGACCAGGTAAAGATGGCAGATTTCTTCCCCTAAAGAACAAATAGAAAACCAGGTGGGTTTTTACATCATTAGACTGGTTTTTTATTCCAGATTGTGAAATTTGAATTCAATAACAATCTGCCATGGGGGCGATTTGAACCCATGTCCTCAGAACATTAGTCTAGGAGTTTGGATTGCCAGTCCAGTGACATTACCACTACGCCGCCAACCCCTATGTCGTCATAATTCTACATAATAGTGTGGTAGTAAAAGAGGGCAATACAATCAGAACAAACACTTCTCTGCAATCTCAACTGGAATTCCTGAAGAATCTATTACAGGCCTGGTGCAGGATTAAAAATATGTCATCAAAGCTGTTGTTGCATATTGTGCTCCTCGCTCTGTAAAAGGGCGCAACCCTTGACTCATGAGTAAAGTCAAGAGAACTTTGCTAATGTATACATTTACAGCTAGTTTGTATTTTTATTTAATTCATTCACGAGACATGGCTGTTGCCTAACAGGCTTGTATTTATTGTCCTTGAGCAGGTGTTGGTGAACTGTTGCCTCAAACTGCATTGGTGAGATCACATTTGGTCAACTGTGTACGATATTGGTCATCCTATTTAAGGAAGTAAATACCTTTAAAGCAGTTCAGAGAGCATTTACTGGGTTGATATCTAGAATGGGTGAATTGTCATATGAAGATTTGTATATGCTGGCATTTTGAAGAGTAGGAGGCAACATGACTAAAGCATGAGGTCCTGGGAGATTTTGCCAGGATGTATGTTGAGAGGGTGTTTACCTCTTGTCGGAGAATCTAGAATGAGAGATTACTGTACAAAAAGAAATCTGGCTACTCATTTAATACAGGTGACAATGAGTTTCTCAGCGTATCATGTGTCTTTGAAACTCTCTTCCTTAAAGGGCAATGGAAGCAGAGTCCTTGAATATTTTTAAGGCAGATATGGATAGATTCTTGTCATGGGAAGTGGCGTATGGTTATCAGGGGTATGAGACTAACAATCAGACCAACTGTGATCTTATTTAAATGGTGGCGCATTGAGGGGACGAATGACCTGTCCTGTGTCCTGTCTGTATGACTACTCTTGCTGCAAAGCAATGGCACAGATGGTAGAGGGAGAGGCTGAATAGACTAGGACTATTTTCCTTTGAGAGTTGGAGGCTGAAGGGCAACCTTTTAAACGTTGATAAAATCATGAGGGCCATAGATAAGTGAATAGCCAAGGTCTTTCCCCTGGAGTAGGGAAATCCAAAACTAGAGGGCATAGATTTAAGATGAAAGGGGAAAGATTTAAATGGGACCTAACCGGCAACTTTTTCGCGTAGAGGGTAGTGCACGTATGGAATGCGATGGCAGAGAAAACAGTACAATTACAACATTTAAAAGGCATCTGGATGAGTACGTGAATAAGAAGGGTTTAGAGGGATATGGGCCAATTGCTGTCAAATGGGACTGGATTAATTTAGGATATCTAGCCGGCGTGGACGAGTTAGACCAAAGGCTGTGTTCCCGGGCTGTACAACTTTATGACTAGGTATTGAGGGGAGCATCCAGTTGTGTGGCTCATATAGGAATGAATGATATGGGCAACTAAGAATGGTGTTCCATTAAATTTGAAGAGTTAGGGTTCAAATTAAATGCAGAACTTCAAATTTCATGATCTTTGGATCATCACTGCTATGTCCCATTAGTTTAGGATTGAGCAGATTATGAATGTAACTGTGCGGTTCAAAGACTGGTATAAAGGGAAGAGGTTTTGATTCATTGGGCACTGGCACTAGTACTAGGTTAAGTGAGAGTAGATCCATTTGGATGCTCCACTTAAAGCGGTCCAGAATCAGTGACCTGTCAAACTTTTGTGGCTAGAGTTGTAGACAGGACATTAATCCAAAGGAGTCGCGGGAAGGGCAATTTAGAAATCCAAAGAGAAAAATAAGATAACAGAACAGGGATTTAGGAAAAGGCAAACAGAGTGGGACAGAATGTGTAGAGTTTACCAATAATTGTACATGACCGTTCGTTATACTAGTTGGTTTAAAATAAAAAGGTTATTAATTGCATGAATAATGCAATAGGATGAACCACAAATATAAATGGAGGTACATGGTTTAAATCTAATTGCCATTACAAAGACATAGTTGCAAGGTGATCAGGTTTTGGAAATAGATATTTTAGTGTACGCAATATTTTTTGAAAGCCAAAGGAGGAGGAATATCCTTTACAGAGATGACATAAGGACAGTATTGAGTGAGAATCTTGGCTCAATAGGTCAGCAAGTAGAATCAGTGTGAATGGAGATTAGGAATAAGATGATTCAGAAAGTTTTGGTGCAAGTAGTTTATAGGCTCCATCAAAGTAGTTACAATGTTGGGTAGTGTATTATGCAGGAAATAATTGGAGCTTGTAACAAAGTCAGTGTTATAACTGAGGGATTTAAATCTTTATATCGATTAGATTAATCAAATTAGCAAGTCTTAAAGAGTTTGTAAGATACTATCATAACCTTTTCCTAGAACAATACGTTGTTGAACAGATGGGGTGTAGCTATTTTAAATGGAGTAACATGCAATGAAGAAGGGTTAATTAGTAATTTCATATCAAAAATCAGTTGGGAAATAGTGATCATACATTAAGAATAGATTATAATGGAATGTAAATGTGAGGGGAGAGTTTAATTGGGTAAATAATAGTGGGAAGTGTTTAAAGAAAATTTACCAATAACATATTGTATTCGAGGACAAAAACTCAGCAAGATCCATCCATGACTTGCCGAGGAACCTAAGGATAGTATTAGATTAAAAGTGACTAAAAATATTGCAAAGAGCAGTGGCAAGTCCAAGAACTGGAATTATTTTAGTAATTAGCAAAGGGCTACCAACATTATAAGAAGGGAAAAAGAACAGAATACCAGAGTACACTTGCCTGGATTTTAAAAACAGATTGTAAGGGCTTTTTTGAGTACAGACAACAGGGAATCACTTCGGTACTTAGCTTGACACTAGGTGTTGGAATAATGCTAGTGGACCATAGGCTGCTCTCTCATCCGAGACAGACAACTGGTGGTGGTTTAACCTGAGGATCATCACACCTCAGAAGAAGGGCAAGATTGAGAGAAGGTGGGACTTTCATAGTAACCTCAGCCAGGGTGGGGAATTGAATTTGCACTGTTGGCGTCACTTTGCATTGCAGGCCAGCTAATGCTAACTGACCCTCTGATTCTCTAGTGCTCCAAAAGGGAAACTAAAGTTATTTTTTATTTTACAGACTGATGGTGATGTTCTTTGGAAAATTGTAAATCAGTCAGCTTTGTTTGGAATGCTTGGAGCTTTGACTTAGGACATTGCTCTATAGGAAGCTGCATTCTGCCTCTTCTGCCTGACGAGTAATGTATGGACCAAGATCCTTAGGAAGACTGGTGAACCATGGCCCGGCCACAGGCCTTAGCGGTGACAGCAGCCACATTACTGGGTACTGCTGTAGGCTGCCTGTACTTGTGGAAGGCCTTTAAAAGTCCCAAATGGAAGAAGGCTCTGGCCAGCCAGAATCAAGAAGGTGTGGAAAGAGAGAAAATCACACAGAGTGATGGAGAGGAATCTTGCCAAATAGATAACACAGACGATTTTGTCAATCCCGGTTTGCTGGTGGAAAAACTGCTGACTGCAGATGCCTTCATAGTGGAGTCAGAGGATGAATGGGAGCAAGTCTGGCCATTGTTGAAGACAGAACTGGATAATTACCCACTCATAGGAATTGACTGTGAATGGGTAAGTGGTGTTGATAATGTCTGTCGATTTCTGTTGCTCCGTGCTTTCCATATGTGACAGAAAATGAATTAGTTGAAATTAGGTGGTAAAATTTAAGAATTACCAGTTCCATGACTCACCCAGTCACCTTTTCCCCCTGCAAGCTGTGTTATTGATCATGTATCTATTGATTTTAATCCAGCTGCACACACGGTCACTCAGTAACCCCTTCCTCAACACCCTGTTTTACTGCCTGTAATTACTGATGTCAATCCAGCTCGCTCACACTGTCACTCAGTAATACGTTCTGTCAGGGGCCCTTGTGGTGCAGTGGTAGTATCTCTACTTCTGGATCAGGAAGCCAGGGTTTAAGTCCCACTTGCTTCAGAGCTGTCATAACACGTCTGAAAAACATGTTTTAGATAAAAAAAACTTTCCCTCAGCACTCTGTGTTACTGACTGTATCTCAGCTGATAATGCAGCTCCCGCATTTTTGCAATGCTTCATAGTGGAGAAAGTAATTTTTCTTTCGAAATGTAGTTCTAGTTAGAATATAGGAAAACAATAATCAATTTGCACACAAACTGTTACAAATTTGTATTCTTTAGTGATGCTGATTGAGTCATAAATACTGGCTAGGACGCTAGCGAGAATTCCCTAATAGTGCCGAGAGATCTTTCATGTCTATCTGAGAACACGCAAGGCTTCAGTTCAGTGCTGATTCAGAGGATGCCACTTCAGCCCTGCCTTCTTGTACTGAACTCTCGAGTGAGCTTCAAAGCCCCAAAAACTTTCCAACTTGAGAGGTGAGAGTGCAACCCAACGATCAGTCTTGCTGAATGCCTACAAAATATTGTAAAAAAATTACCAGAAATGGACAGTAAACAGGTAGATTTTAAACTGTTGGTAATTTGATTTTGCAGAGCACACTGCCTTTAGAAAATGGGCCTTTCCAAGGCCTGTGGTCTGGTGTTGCTGAGGACTTGACCCTAATGCTTTGAGTTGCACTTGCATGCAAGTTGTCTTGTTTCTTCACTGATTAATGATAATCTCGAACAAACTGTTGGAGAGACTAAGACATTGGTTTCAGTCCTGTCATAAAGTCAGTTTTCTTGCCACTTACTCCATCTGTCTCCTTGGCTAGTTCTTGAAGAGAAGTAAATTGCTTCCAACTGTGTCTTCTAATTTGACCCTGAAATGACATCCATGGAATTGTATAAAAACAAATCGTTTAGTTTAGCAGATTTATACTCCTAACAAACTTCTCCCCACCTTACTTCATTTAACCTCTTTTACATTCTCCTTTGTTTACCTAACTTCCTCTTACCTCAGCAAAACCATGTGCTAAATCCCAGGCTTTCTCCCCACGTTTTCAAGTCTGTAACCCAATTTTGGAAGGCCCTAGGATGAAGTGAAATATTTTCTTACCAGGGAAAGGGAAAAGTCAGCCATGTCATCCTAGTGTCTGGCTGTCCATCTGTCAGCCTGCAGCAACCACAGCACCCCAAGAACAGCATTTATTGAATGCAAGGTGCTTTGGGGAGGATAGGCTGAGTAGTGAGCATGGTATGTCAGACACTGCCTCTAAACCAGAGCGCTGCACTGACGTTAACAAAGTTGAAATGCCCAGTTAGAAAACGTAGTCTGCAGGGTATTTAAATAAAAGATAATTGTGTTCATAACCTCTTATTTTCAGAAACCCCTGGATCTCTTTGTTATCTCCACTAGCCTGATGCTCTCTTGGTTGACGTATCACCCTTTGTTCACTCAAAGTTCTGCTGCCTGTGCCCTAGTTTACATCAGTCCAGTTCATCCTTTGAGCCTGTGTTCGTAAAACTATCCTAACTCCTAATCTATCAAAACCTCAAGCTTAAAATTTCTTATCCCATTGTCCAAATCCCTTTGGCCTCACCCACACCTATTTCTGTTATCTTCCCCAGTCCTAAAGCCTGTGCTCCTCCCAGTTCTGGCCTCTTATACATGCTCATATCCCTGCACTCCACTTTAGGTGACTGTACCTTCACCTTTGTCATCCTTAAAATTTGACATTCTTTCCCCAAACCTTTCTATGCCTCTCGCCTCCTTTTGGGCATTCAATCAGACCCACCTGTCTGATTGAATAAGCTTTGTGGTCTTGAGACTTGATGTCAAATGTTGTTTGACAATGCTTCTGTAAAGTACCTTGGAAAATTTTGTTACATTGAAAGCATGTACAATGCAGGTTACTAGGATGAATGTTAAGGTGTATTGCACTCCAAAAAAAGTGAAGTAGACTTTATTTAGCTGATTTTCTTTTTAGTTTTATTTCCTTATCTGGAATTTTTAACCTTTTACTTTAACCCTGGCAACAATTACGTTTATTTCTCTTGCTATCTTGAAATTATTTTTCAGATTTCTATAAAGGGGAAACCAAACCCAGTGTCTCTCCTTCAACTCGCCTCTTACAGTGGCTTCTGTCTTCTTGTCCGCATGCCCCAGATGATTAGGGATGGTCGCTTGATGCCGAAGACCTTACTCGACCTACTGGGGAATGGTAGTGTTCTAAAAGTTGGTGTTGATGCTTTCGAGGATGGCTGCAAGTTACTCCGAGATTACTGCATTACAGTCAGGGGCTGCTTGGATGTGAGATACTTAGCCATGCGCCAGAGGTTCGTGACGGGTTGAATTATGAGGATAGATTACAAAGATTCGGTCTATATTTGGTTGCTTAAGGAAGGCCAAGGAACAATGTAATCAAGGGGTTTGGTGGGAGATTCTAGAACGAGGACCCATGCCTTACAATCAGGATTTAAAATGAGGTGATGTCAGGTAGCACTCCTTCACATTAAAATTGAAAGAAAAGCCTTTGAGGCAATGGAAATTTTCAGAACTGGAATTGACAAATTTTTGTTAGGTAAAGGTTACAAAATAAGGCAGGTAGGTGGAGTTAACAAAAAGGACAAGCATTATTTCATTAATGTGGAGATGCCAGTGTTGGACTGGGATGGACAAAACCAGAAGTCGCACAACACCAGCTTATACTGTAACAGGTTTATTTGAAATCACAAGCTTTTGGAGCGCTGCTCCTTCAAAGTGAACTGACTGACTTATGATATGGTGACATTATCCTGTATTTTCCCATGCCCTTCCATATTGTTTCTATTTAAATAATAATTTAATGCCCTCTTGAATGCTTCAATTCAACCTGCCTCCACCGGACTTCAGGCAGTATGCTTCAGATATGAAACATTCACTGTGTTTTTCTCATGTCACATTTGATTTTTACAAGTAACTTTATAGTTGTTTCTTCTTGTTTTTGATACTTTTATGAGAGGGCACAATTTATCCCTAACTACTAAATCTCCTCTTAACTGTCACCTCTCAAATGGAAAACTTCAATTTCTCCAGTCTAACTTAATAGCTGAAGTTTCTCATCCCTGGAGCCATTGCCATAGACTAATTTCTCCAATGAGTTCACGTCCTTTCTATAGCATGGCACTTAGAACTGTATGCACTATTCCAGCTGAGATGTGACAGGTTTTATACAGGTTCAACATCACTTCCTTGCTCCTGTAATCTCTGGCCCTATTAATAAAACTGAGGATACTGTACACTTTACTAACTGTTTCTTTTAGTTCAAGCCACCATTCATGACTACATGCATATTTATACTAGGTCTGTCTCCTTTATGGTAGAGCCATTTATTTCATACTCTATTTCTATGTTCTTTCTACCAAAATCTATCACCTCACCTCTGCATTGAACTTCATCTGTCATGAACTTATCCACTCCACTGGCTTATCAATGTCCTTTTGGAGTTTCACCTTGTCTTCCTCACAATTTACAATGCTTCTAAATTTTGCATCATCCACAACTTGGAAATTGTTCCCTGCACACCAAGATCAAGATCATTAATATATATCAGAAATGCAAGGGTCCAAGATTGATCCCTGGGGACCTCCAATGCAAGTTTTCCTCTTTTGTTTCTTATCCTTCAGCCAGTTTTGTATCCATGTTGCTACTATTCTGTTGATTCCATGAGCTACAAGTTTTCTTACAGGCCTGCTATTTGATACTCTATCAAACGGCTTCTAGAAGTCCATGTATACCACATCAAACAGCGTTAATTTCACCAACTTTCTCTGTTACCACTTCAAAAACCTCCAAGTTAATTATATACACTTTTCCCTTTAAAAATCTGTACTAGCCCTTCCTAATTAACTCACCTTTTCCTACGTGACCGTTACTTCTATTCCAAATAATTGTTTCAAGAAATTTTGCCACCACTGAAATTAAACTGACTGGACTGTAATTGGTGGGCTTATCCTTACAAATTTTTTTTAAACAAGGGTGTTACATTTGAAAATCTCCAGGCCTCTGGCATGATCCTTGAGTCTGGGGAGATTGAAAGATTGTTGCCAGTGCCTCAGCAATTTCCAGTCTCACTTCCTACAATATCCTCGGATACATCTCATCGTTCCTGGTGCCTTATCAATTTTAAGTACGAACAGACTACCTAATTCCTGCTCCTCGTTATTTTAATCTCTTTGTGTGACTGAATTTCCTCTTGTGTGTTGGGATAGTGGTAACGACCAGAGCAGTGGAAAGAATTTTGTGCAGTTATAGCACAATTCCTGGTTTGTACACAGTAACTGTTCTCAAATGAAAACCAAGACAGAGCTATTCCAGTAAATTCTTTAATTGACAAACCAAGCAGATGCACCAAAATAGTTACGTGAAATATTTGTGATCAGAACTTGCAGCTTATTACGCCTACCGGATAGTTGAATTAATTATTTAATGTGGGATGTATGTGAGCATAAGTTTATAATATTAATGAGCAGTAGCATTCCCTTTGCCAATTGGAAAACGCTGTCTCTTCAGCAGCGTTTTATTGTTGAGATGAAATCTGAATTATGCAGTGAAATGTAAACCATTTGATTTATCATAACTCTGTCATTGTAAAGTTGTATTATTATACTGAAAAGCTTGTTTTACAGAGGTCTCCAGTGAATGTTCAGCTGACTTAGCTACTCACATTATTAATTACTATTTTAACTTTGGTACAATGGTAGCATTTTCACCTCTGACTCAGAAGGTCATGAGTCCATTATAGAATCTGGAGCAAAAAATTGTGTCTAATATTCCAGGACTAAGGGAGTGCCCTTTATTTGAGAAGTTAAACTGAGGCCCAGTCTGTACCCTTGGGTGGATGCGAATTGTCCCATGACATTACTTTGAAGAAAAGGAAGATTGTCTTCAGTGTCTTGTCCTATCTCGACCAACATCACTGAAGTATATCTGTTCATTATGATATTGCTATTCGTGGGTCCTTGCTGTATGCAAGTTGACTGTGTGCAAGAGTAGACAACACTTTATTTACTGCAGAGAGCTTTGAGATGTCCTGAAGTCAAGAAAGGGGCAATATAAGTGCAAATCATTATTTTGCATCAACAATTCCAATTATTGTCTTGGTTGAGGGAAGACTTTCAGGAATGTTGAATATGATGTAATGGAATACAGACCTGTGACAGTGATTCTCCAAACAGTGAACTTCTGATTTCATTTGTAGTATTTATGGGAAGCTGTCAAATGAAAGAATATGACAACTAATATTATTGTCATTTTTATTTGTGTTAGGATGTGGGTAACCCTAGCAAGACAGTTCTTATTGCCATAACTAGTTCCTCTAAGGCCGTTGAGATTCAACCATGTTGTGTAGGACTATTGTCGTGTTTCAGCCAGATCAGGTAGGCCTGAGGACTAATGTCTTTTCCTTGAAGGATATTAGCAAACCGGTTGAATTTTCAATGGCGATTTTAGTCAGTTTGCTGCTGATCCCTGCTAGGTAAAGAATAAATATTAAAGAAAGCAAAGACTTATGTTTGCAAAGTGCCTTTCGCAAGTTTTGGGTTTCCAACGTGCTTTGCTGTTGAAGTACTTTAAAGTGTAATTGCTACTGTATGCAATTGTGCATAGGATTGTCTCTCAAAAAACACTGAATTAAATAAATAGATCATCCATGTTATTGAAGGATAAATATTGGTCATGATGCAGAGGAGAATTTCCCTGTTCCTGAAAATAAGTGCCATGGGATGTTTTATGGCCACCTGAGACGACAAAGAAAAACTTCAGTGGTACCTTTTTTAAGTAATTCACGGCATCTCCCTTAGTACTGCACTGAAATGTCAGTCTAGATAATGTGCTCAAATTTCTGGATTGAGACTTGAATACAAAGCCTTCTGACTCAGTTCAGCATATCAATACTGAGCCACAGTTGACACCCAAGTGAGGGATTATTGTTCAGCTCAATCACTCAACCTAACTCTTTGAGCATGAACACTGGATGTTCCTTTTACTATTATTCCCTTTGCGTGTCAGGTGGTTCTGTTGTTCTGAAGGAGATTGAATTGGTGAGAAAGCCCAAAATGTCCCAAGTTTTAGTAGATCAATGATAGACCAATATAGTGATAAAAAGACTGATGGACAAAGTGTAGCAAACAAACTAACATGGCAAAGATGTGGAAAATTACAGACATTGTCCTGAGACATTAGATCTACTGGCCCTACGTTTACTGTACTCAAATTTAATTCTGTCTGGTCATCTTAATTTAAATTAATTCTAAATTATTTTCTTAATTTAAATTAATTAAGTTAATTTAATTTAATTCTGTCTGATGGTCTTAATCATCATAGATATTTTCTGATCAGCCTGTTCAAAGATGTTATTACACACTTCTAGAGCAGGTGGGACTTGATCCTGGGCCTCCTGGCTTAGAAGTAGGGAAACTATGACTGTGCCACAAAAGCCCATCAAGTTATCATCTATAATTTGTTTCCCCACTTGTCTTAATTGATGTGGAATATGAAGGAATTTGGTCAGTCAGTAGAAATTCACCGTGCCCCAGAAGGAGTGCGTGGTTCCTGTTTCATTTCATTTATCTCTCTCTTTCTGACCCAACCACAAGCTGTAAGTAGATGCAGCCCAAAAGGCTCTGGTGCTACATTATATAATTACACAAAACTTGGACAAATATTGCAGTTTTAAAGGAACCATACTTCAAATTGAGTGCAAAAAAAACCAACTGATCGCCTGAAGTTCATTTAGTCCAAGCTCTCTCCCTGTCCAAGCAATGGGATAATGTTAACCCCTCTGACATCTCTGATACTAGATATTTCTATCAATCCTGACGTCTTTGGTAACAAATGGTGCTGATGCTCCTCGTCCTGAACAAAATAAGGTATTCAAAGTTTACACCCCAAACAATACCTTCCTTAAGCCCTGAACATTCCTTTAACACACACTGCTAACACATTTTCCTGATGACATGCAGTGCTAATGCTGCACTCCTCCTTCCCCATGGCACACTGTGCCAATGCTCCAGGATTTGTTGCGCTAACGTTCTGACCTCTGAAGGTGCGTTGTGCTGGCACTCAACCAGTGCTTGATGCTTGGATATGGATTGTTTCAGTGTTCAGAAGAGGAGTATTAAACTGTAGCCTTGCACAACAATAACTTACATTTATGTAGTGGCTTGAATTGGTAAAATATACCAAGGTTCCTTACAGGTGTACTACCTAGCAAAATTTGACATGGGCCATCTGATAGATAGATGACCAAAAGCTTGGTTCAAGAGGTAAGTTTCAAGGTATGCCAGAAAAGAGGAAGGAGAGTTCAGATTTGGTGAAGAAATTGCAGAACTTTGGGTCAATGCACCTGAAAGTGCAGCTGCCAGTGGTGGAATGATGATCATCAGTGTGTGTGCAAAACGCCAGAAGTGTAGGAGCCCTAATGTCTTAAGGGGTTTTCGGGCTGAAGGTTACCTTGATTAAGAGAGACAAAACCATGGAGGAATTTGAAGATACAGTGAGGATTTTAAAATTGTGCCGTTGCCAGACCAGGAGCTAATGTAAGTCAAAGAGTACAGGTGTTGACTGAGCAAGACTTGTTACTTATAGGAATTATGGACACCAGTTTAAGAAGATAAACAGTAATGTAGCATCAGTAATCTTAATGATCCAGTCTAAATAGTTCCACTAAGAAGGCAGTGTGTACCAAAGCTCCTAGTCTGCCTTTCCTACTTAAGGTCCTTCTTTATAGAATACAGCTTCATTTGACATCTGCATGATCCCTGACCACTTACACTGTTAGCTAGCCAGTCTGTTTAGTCCGTAATCACTTTCAGCATTTTGTCAGCTGGCAAAATCAAAACAAATGTTGTTGTAGGAGCATGTGATCTGGGTTTGATCTGAGTTGGATTGAATTTAAATTACTGTACCACTCAGTTTCACTGATCAGTGCTCTAAATTGGCTTTTAAACATTCTAGATGTTGAAATCCTTTTTTCCATGTGGCTTTATAACAGATTACAAAAGGCCTTAGAAAACTGAACACACATTGACCTATAATGATTAATTGTCTCTTCACAGACCTTAAATTGAGGAAAGCATTTTAATATCCCAGTAACTATATGGATTATTGGTACTGTTGGAGTCTGATGTAAGTGATGTTACTCCAATAATTTTTATCTTTGTAAAGAACGTTTGTAAACCTAGCTGCAGATGATCAATTTGTAAATCTTATGGGGTATGTTTCATTTTAATTGTCCATTTCCCAACTTATGCAAACACAGAAAAGTGCACAAATGTTATTGGGCCATTGAAGCATGCTATGCTGTCAGCTTGATTGTGATGACACGTATTCAATTCTTTCCAAGCTTAATGGTATGACCAGAAATAGATCCTTTTACTTAATCATAAACAGAAATTGCTGGAGAAACTCAGCAGGTCTGACCGCATCTGTAGAGAGAAAACAGAGTCCCTGACGTTAACTCTGTTTTCTCTTCACAGATTTCTGCCAGACCTGCTGAGTTTCTCCAGCAATTTTGTGTTTTTGTTTCAGATCTCCAGCATCCAAAATACTTTCTTAATCTCTCTTTTCTCCCTTTGTGTCAGTAAAGTAGAGACTGGAGGGAAGTGAGGGCTTGGGGACAGTGATACAAGGGGCAGGCACTATGGTGAATTATGGGCAACGCAGACACCAACAGCTTCCTGATGCGTCAGACTGATGGTAGTGAGGAAAATATGGCCTCAGCCTTTACATGTTGTCCTCCACTTCATGTCTTTCCTCCACCATCTCACTCCTATTACATTCCCAAATCCTTTCACCATACTGTTTCTGCCAGCCCTTACACTTAAACTGCCTGCTCAAAACCTGTATCTTTCCCTCTCACCTCTTGTTCACCAATTTATCTTCCATCCAAACTTCCCTCTTTGTCTCACTTCCCCTGTAGCTGAGGGAGCTTTCCTCTTCCTACCCTCTCTTTCTATCTGTTCCATGCAAGGAAATGTTCAACTTGTTAGGAGACAAGACATGGTTCCTTCCCTGAACAAGTTTATTGACTTGTTCACTGTGTCAGTTCTCTTCGCTGTCCCCTCAATGAGTCACTGAAGAGAACTACTCCCCAGACACTGCCAAGCAGGGGAAGCTCTGCTTCATCAGCTCCAACCTCCGTCCCCAGCCTGGTGGTGCCATGTACAGCATCATCTTGGTATGGCGACCCCAGCAGCAGCTGCTGTGATATCTGAGCAGGACTTGGTACGTGCTGGAATGTGGGCAGCAGTTCAAGAAGGCAAACAGTAATGTAGCATCAATAATCTTACTGATTCAGTATAATTAGTTACAGTAAAAGAGGTAGTGGCAGGATTCAAACCTGGATCCCCAGGATATTACCTAGGTCTCTGGATTAACAATCCAGTGATAATACCACTAGGCCACTGTCTCCCCTTAAAATATTTTCAACTACTGATGAGAAAATTGGTCAGAAAATATTCCAGAAAACATTTGCACTCTGTTGTGCAATCAAAGGGCAATATGCTTTTGCTGTAAAATAGAAATAGTTATGTGTCAAACAGTGTGTCCTCTTTACCATTGAAAATACCTGCCAGAGAAATAACTCTTCAAATGTCAGATGTCCTACAGATACCCACAATGAGTTTTCGATGAAGTATGCACTTCTGTTTGGGAGGTTGATTCTTAAGTAGGAGTGAATAGAATTTACTTTGATTGAATCCAGTAAAATAAGAGTGAATTAGGGCAAGTTTAGAGTCCATTGAAATTCTCTTGATTATGAGTGAAAGGGAAAAGTGCTGGTTTTGTTGGAGTTCTATGCTATGGACTAGTATTTAAACTACTAGTTTCATGTAATCAAAAGGGGATGATGTGTTGGAATTTTGAACAATGATGGTTGAGCTATTTGGCTTACCTTTATCTAGATTCCAACTACACATGTTCAAATGTATTACTACTTCAGATTTCACTATGAACTCATTAAGGTACTTTTAAAGGATGCCTAATGCTACAGTATAATCTGCTGTATAGACTTTCCTTGCTGCCTCTTTAGTTGATGTTACATTTAAAACTTTTTTAGAAATGACTTTCTGGTATTAACTCTGGTCCCCTTTTCTTTGTTATAGCAGGAAGAATAGCTTTGCGTGCTCCCCCAGCCTGAAGTCCTTAGCTCAAGACATCTTAAATTACACCCTTGACAAGTCCCTACATCTACGATGTAGTAATTGGGAGGCAGAAGAGCTCTCCAACGAGCAGGTACTCTTGTTAAGGGAGTGTTCATAATTTTATTTGGCATGTTGCAAACATTTTCATATATTTTTGTTTGAGAGGTAAGTCATTTCCTTTGCGTTCCATTTCATCAGAGATTTGGAAAGGTCTGTGGTGATTCTCGGTCACAACTTCCATCTTTGTACCGTCATCTGTCACTGTCCTTCATTGACCTATCTATTACTGAAAGCCCATTCATGCATTTTCTTTCTTTAGACTAATGTATGGTTAGTCTCCTTTTTTACTGTGTAAACTTCAGCTCCTGTATAACTCTGTGTGTGTTTCCTAACTCATACTTACTCATGCATCGTCCCTGTGCTCGCTGTCTGCATTGCCTTGATTTCTTGAATGCATGGATTTTAAAATCCTCATCTTTGTGTTTTAACTCCTCCAAAACCTTAGACCTGTATCTTTCTAAGGTCTTCCATTGCTACCTGCCTCAGAATTCTGTATTCCTTTAATCCTGGCCTTTTGTGCATCTTCAAATTCTACATACATCTGACTTTCTGTACTCCACCTTTGATGGCTAAGACTTGCCATACTTCACTCATATTTTACTGGATTCAATCAAAGAAGAGTAAAGCTGTGTCTTGAGCTGTCTAAGCACTCATCTTTGGAATTCCCATCCTGATTGACCCATTCTACATCTCTCTTGTCATTTAAGGGTCTTCTTTAAAATATTCTTATCATCTGCCCTACTGTTTCCTCCTTTGGCTGTAAAATATTTGGTTTCATCACGCTCCTGCAGAGCATTTTAGTACCTTTAAACTAGGAAAACATCCTATATAAATGTAAGTAGCCAGCATATTCAGGATTCAGGTTTAGTTTGGTCCTGCAGTAACATCATATGCTTGTTCTGAAACTTCTTTTTAATAAAATTCAATATCCTGTTTCCTTGTTGAGTACATACTTAATGACAGTAAATGGTAATATCAGTAAGATTACAGTAATAATCTGCATTTTTACAGCAAATTTAATGCTGTTAACATTACAAAGTATTCTCTAGTCACTGCTATAATGTAGAAAATGTAGCATTCAATTTGTGCGCATTAAGCCCTTATAAGCACCTTTCAGATAATGACCAGATTATCTGTTTTAAGAACGTTGTTTGAGAGATTAAATGCTGAGAAAATCAATGGGAACATTCCTGGTCTACCTTAAGAATGATAACCATTAGAGACAGAGACAACTGGTAGTGGTTTAATCTGAGGGCCACCACACCTCAAGGAAGGGAAGAGGCTGAGAAGGAGAGTCCTTCAGGTTAACCTCAGCCAATGTAGGAATTGAACCCATACTGTTGGCATCACTGTGCATCACAAACCCACAATCCAGCCAACTGATTTAACTGACCTTTTTTACATCAACTTGAGATTACAGGTGGGACTTTGGTTTAGTACCACATCTAAAAAAACTGCTCTTCTGATAGTGCATTACCCCCTCAAATGTTGTATCACTGTGAGAACCTGGATTTTGTGCTCAAGTTCTTACTGTGAGACTAGAACCACCCCATAACCTTTTGAATCAGAGACAGAGTGTTACTGTTAAACCTATGGCTGAATGAAGAGAGGTTGGGGCTGACCTGTGCCAATGGCATGGGCTGCATCAAAATGGCACAATTTACCATCATTAAAGTGCGAGGCAGTTAAAATGTAATGGGTAGAGTAAAGAAATGGCAAGGACTTAAGGCTGAGTTGGGAGTTATGTTTTGGCCGTCTGCATTAACACATTCACAGCTAATACCAGAGATTGGACTAGCATGTAGTAAAGGCAGGCTGATTTTGATATAAGGAGTTTAATTTCTGTTTCGTTGAGATAAGTAAACAGGCTCCTGTTAGAAATGTAGCAGAATTTTTCCATGTGTTCTTGATAGTTTTCTGTAGTGATATATTCTAGGACCAACAAAGGGTCAGACAATATTAGGTTTGATAATGAGAAATGGATTTATTGATATGTGCTCATTTACCCAGTAGTGATCATAATATCATTGTGTCCGAAGTATTTGAAAGGGGAAAAATACAAACTATCTACTAAGATGCTAGATTTAGGGAAGTCCAAATTCAGCAGGTTGAAACTGAGGTTTCCCACAGTAAAGTGCACAAATCTAAAAATGGATAAAAGCAACAGGTTATTAGGAGATTTTCAAAAAGAACATTTGAGGCTTTGGTGGGAATACAAGCCCTGAGTGACTTGAGAAATGAAGAATAAGATGAAACAAAACTTAACAAAAATAAAGAATGCACAAAAATAGAATCTGATAAATGGGAATGCTCTGAAGAATAGCAGAAGTTGACAAGACAGATAGTAAGAGCTGTAAATAGAAATAGGAAATGATGCTTACAAGCGATCAGTACAAAACTTTGACAATTATATCAGACAAAAAATGAAGAATATAGGCTCTTAAAAATTGACTTTTGTGAGGATAAGGAAATGGAAAACGTGTTCAATAATCTGTATTTCCACCTGAAAATGTCATCATGCCACTAACCCCAAGGAAGCTGATCTTGGATCAGGATTGGAACTCACCAAAATAAACGTAACTGAGTCAGTAATTAGAAAAAGGGATCATGATTTCCACCTTCTTAATATCCTGACTTCTGTTTTGTTGCAGCTCTTTGCTGCTGAAGCTCCCATTTATGTCTTGTTAATTTTGGACTTAGCTGTTCCATTGCTCCCTGGCTGGTTTTCTGAATTCTATCCTCCACAACCTTGAGATCTGCTAAAACTTCACTGCCTCTGTCTCATGTCGCATCAAGGCCCTATCACTCCTGTACTCAATGAGTATTGTGTCCCGAGCATTTATCGTCTTGATTTTAAAATTCTCATCCTTGTTTTCAAATCCCTCCCTCGGCTTTCGCATCCCTGTTCACAAAATCACAAAATTGTTATAGTGCAGGAGGAGGCCATTCAGCACATTGTGATTACACCAGCTGTCCAGCAAGCATTATGGATTAGTGCCATTCGTCTGCTTTTTTCCCTATACCCTTGCACATTCAGATAGTCATCCAAATCCAACTTGAATGCCTCAATTGACTCTGCCCAGACTATACTTCTGGGTGATGCATTCCAGACCAGAAATACTCATTGTGTGAAAAATGCAGATGCTCCACTGAAATTCACCAAGGCATTTTAGTCTGAGCCACTCACCATTCCTGACTTGGAAATAAATCACTGTTCCTTCAGTACCACTGGTTCAGAGTCCTGAAATTCCCTCCTTAATGTCATGGTGAGTACATCTGCAGCAAATGGACTTCAGTGAGTCAAGAAGTTACGATCACCTTTTCAGGGCAATGAGGGATGAGCAACAGATGCAGTCCAGGCGGTGACACTCGCTTTCTGGTGAGTAAATTTTTAAAAGAAAATTCTCATCTACATTTGCATTGGATAACATTTGTTATCTGTTCTGGTTCCACACAACCCCTGGAACATCTGTGACTGTCTTATTCTGGTTATTGGAGGATTCTGAATTTTAATCACTCCTCCAATGGTCCATTGGTGACCATGTCTTCAGCAGCTGAGGCTCTAAGGTCTGGAATTCACTCCCAACACCTTTCCTCCACTCTACATCGCTTCCTTCTCTTGAGACATCCTTAAAACTAACCTGTCTAAACAAGACATTTACCACTTGAATGAGTATCTCATTATGTGGCTTGGCGTTGTAGTTTTATTTTCTAATACACCTGTGTAGAGCCTTGGTACACCTTATTCCACTAAACATGTGACAATAGATGTAAGTATCACTGAGATTAAAATGTGGCAAATGAATTTCAGTGTATGTAAGTATGAGTCAACCCTCTCGGTCCAAAGGCATAGGCCAGAATACTTTTTGAAATGGCGAAAAGCTAGAAGCGGTGGAGGTTCATTTATGTACATATTGAAACAATCATGAATGTGACTGAACAATAATAAAACATGCTAATAAGATGCTGAATTTTTTTATCTTGAAGACTAAAATATGAGTTGTCAGAAGTCATGATACAGCTGTACACAACTCTGGTTAGACACTCTGACAGCACTGAAAATATACAAACATCTCAGGAAGGACAAATTGACCTTCAAGAGAGTGCAGTATTGATTCACAAGAATGTTACCTGGACTCCAGTGGATAACTTATGAGGACAGCCTACATAATTTAAGGACCTATTTTTGCAAATTTGAAAGACAAGGGGTAAAATTAATCGTACTTTCAAGGTATTAAAGGAACTGATTTGGTTAGATATAGAGAAGCTGTTTCTGCTGGCTGGGGAATCTAGTTTCAGGAACAAATTACAGGAGTTCAGTTTAGAAAACGCTTCCACATACTAATGGTGGTCAAAAATGATGCACTTTTTTCTGAAAAATGGCAGTGGATGCTGAATTAGTTGTTAGCTCTAAATCTGAGATTGATGTGTTTTTATTTACTAAATATGTGACTATTACCAAAGGTATCCATAATCTAATTGAAAGACATAATAGGTACAAGGGGCTGCAGGACTTGCTCCTGTTCTTATGTCTGTAGTGTTCGTCAACCAGACCCCTGTTGCACACAGTAAGTTTTTATTGACATGTTTGTATGTTTTTGCCGGTTTTGGGTAATGTTTTTAGTTTGAATTTTTTACATTCTATTTTCTGTTGCCAGATAGCATATGCTGCACAAGATGCCCAGGTATCTGTGGCTCTGTTCTTTCATCTGCTGGGATTCAGTTCTGCACCACTTGAAGATTGTATGCCATGTGAATATGAACCCACCTGGAAGCAGATGCTGGCACGGTGCCAGGGCCTAATAGATGTCCCATTTAAGGGCAAAGTGGGAAGTAGCAGAGGGGAAGATGGAACAGGAGACATCAACTCTCAGCAGAGACGACGAAACAAGAAGCTTGGGACCAACCAGAAATCTGCATCACACCTGAACACCCCAGACCCAAGAAGAATTCAACACAAACCGCTCGGGGTAGGATATTCTGCCAGGTAAAAAGGATGTAGTTTGTTTGCTCATTTCTAACTTGTACATAATCTAGTGTATCTGTAACTGATGCTTTCTTTACCTGATTGAAAATGATTAGGTCAAAGTGGTGCTGCAGTGAGCTAGCTGATAGTTAATTGCTTTGGAGTGATCTGGTATTGGTCCGTTGCTGTGATTGCACGTGCATTTGTGGCTGTGCTTTATAAGAGAGACTGAGGTAGGTGGCAGCTTCACTCCTATATGGAAAGGGGCTGGAAATTTGCTGATTATCCTTTACCAGTTCCCTCCACACACAGTTTGCTGAATTTCCCCCTCAAATTGATGCTTTGGACAGGAAATTGTTCTCCTTCCTCTCCTACCATTTAAGTGAATGGATCATTTCTGAATACTTGCCCTTCCGCTCTTGTCCCTTCTCATGAAGTTACCTTGTACATCACGTTTGGCTTGACTTTGTTGGTCTGTGATGTGTAGAAGTTGTACGATCTAAGAACTGTTCTATAGTTGCTCTCTTGAACTGTGAGGTCCTTAAAATCACTGAAGCCAAGTGGCCCTTTCCTCTGAATAAGAGTTTATTGTGATATTGACATTTATAGTTTTAATTTAATTTTGAGTGTAGGAAGTTATTGCATTTAAACTCCTACCAAACATAAAGAATCACCAGACTGTCGTGTTGAATTAATTAATGTTATTTAAGATGGAACCAGGACTGGAACTTGAAAAGTGCAAGTTACTATTACTATATTATCCAAAAGGTTTAGAAAGGAATGGAGCTTTCACTTCCCCAGACCTTTGCCAGGGGTGGGTAGTGTAAATAGTGTAAATTTTCGTTTCCACTGAAAATTGACTAATTATATTTTCTTTTGTAGTATTTAAAATGCATTGTGATTTCTTTTGAAAACATATACACTTTATTCTTTCTTCAAACTCTTGAACACTATAAGCCTCAATACTGCATATATCTCCTAAATCCACTATTTCTCTGCTTGTGTTGGTTCATAGGCATGAAGTGTCCATTCTCCATTTTTGCATCTTGGCTCATTCCCAGACCTCTTGTACCTTTTGAACAGAGTCTCCATATTATCATTTTTATTACTTTTCACTACCTCAGGGCATCCCAAAATACTTCACCACAACTAACAAATATTTTTGACCACATTAATATAGGGAACATGCAAATTAGCTTCCACTGCAAGACCTCATGAACAACAATAAGCATAAGCAGTTCCAATATATTATAAAAGTACTTAAATATTTCTTGGTGTATTTGAGTAGTAATCCAGCTCCATTTCTGAGTCTGTTACCAAAAATAAGAATTTTTAGGATGTCCAGTCATTTACCTCTGAGTATCCTGATTTAAACCCCACTTAAAAAAGTTGTTTTTGTCACTGTGTACCAGCTAGTTTCTTAGTAAATATAGTCTGTTTTAAGACATGCCTACCAATGTCTGTGTTTCTATAAAAACAAGCATAATTTGAGGAGCCTTTTCTAACCAGTGCACTTTGTTCAATCTCTTGATTTTGACTTAGAATCATAAAATCCCTACAGTGTGGAAGCAGGTCATTTGGCCGATTTGACCCTCTAAAGAGTATCCCACCCAGACCTACCCCACACCCTGTAACCCTGCATTTCCCCTGGCCAATCCACCTAACCTACGCATCTTGGACTGAGACAAAACTGGAGTGCCTGGAGGAAACCCATGACTTGGGCAGAGTGGAGGAAATGATTAGTTTAATTGACAGAGTCTGCTCCGGACAAGTTAAATCTTAAACGAAGAATGTGAATGATGTCTGGTGTGACTCACATAAGCTTTTAATTTCTAAATATCTGTGTTAGTTTGGAAGATTCCTGTTAGATTTCTGTGGAATTTGGGTGCAAAATGAACAGAAAGGATATGAGCTTCCAGTTCTCCAGACCTTTGACAGAGGTGGGTAGTGTAAATGGTGCTTAGTTGGACTTGGAGGCTTTCCTAGCCTATGATATCACTAGGACAAACTTGTATTTTAAGAACAACAGGAAATAGCCTTGAGTGTCAAAACTGCGGTGGTGCTACTGGATTCTTATATTGTAATCTACAACCTTAGAATTTCTGAAATTTTTAACTTATTTGTAACATTTATCACTTTGGACAATGTGTCATCAATGCATTATCTTTTCCGGCAATGTGAATAATATTTACATTATATGGTTGCAACGAAAAATTCCATCTAAATAGTCTGGAATTCCTGGTTTTCAACTTTTCACTGAAGGCTAATTGATTACGGTTAGTGTAAATTAGTACTTTTTTTGTTACTGTCGGACCAAGTCTTCAAAGCGTTGAAGTGCCAGAAGCAATCCTAAACCCTCTCTTTTTCTGGCTTCTTTATTGCTGACTCCTCATCCTGCAAGAAGACTGCACCCAGCCCCAAGTCACTTTCATCAATCTCCAATTTGGAAAGTCTTGAAAAATAGGGGTGGTCAATACTGTGTTTCTTATTAGATTGTCTTCAATTTCTCAAGGGCTGGCATTCTGCTGACCATACGATTTTTGTTTGTTCCTTTAATAAATTTGTTCAAGGCCACAGCTATGATACTAAAATTACACATGAATTTCTGGTAAAAATCTACACATTCTTAAAAACCTCATGATTTCTTATTTAGTTTTAGGAACAGTGAGTTCTATTAGAGCTTTCACTCTTACTGTCTTTTGTAACACTTGTTCTTGACCTATGGTATGTCCTGGGTAAATTACTCATGCTTTCCCAAATTTATTTCTAGCTAAATGTATTCCTAAGCTAGCCAAGTATAATTGCTTAAACAGACCTTCTACATGTCCTGCATGTTCTTCTCATGTGTCACTATATACTATTATTTTGTCTAAATAAACTACATAGTTATGAATCTCAGCTACAACTCGATTTATAAGCCTCTGGGATATTCTTTAACTCAAATGGCATCACTCAACATTGGTACAACCCATTTGGTGTTACAAGAGCAGTGATGTCAATGGCATTGTGTATAGCCCCTCAATGGATCAATCTTAGGAAGGAATGAGGCACCACAACTCTATAAATGCAATCTTCTAACCATGGAATTAGGTATGAACCTGTTTTGATGACTATGTTTACCTTTCTATGACTGTACAATAGTTGATCCATCCAGTTTAGGAACCGACAGTATTGGTGAACTCCAGCTGCTTTGACTGGGTTCAGTCATGTAGTTTGCCAGCATGTACTAAATCTCTGTTTCCATCAGAGCTTGTTTTCTTGTTTCAACCGATAAGGATACTGGTTTATCAGTTCTGACTGTCCTATGTCCACCTGTAGCTGATGTAGTTCACCCAGGTATATCTTTACAGATTACTTTATACTTCCTCAGTCGTCTCTCAAAATCCTCTTGTTGACCTGTCTCTAAATATGAGAAAATAGTATCTACCTAGTCAGTACAGAGGATCAGAGGGCCCTCGGTGTGCATGTCCATAGATCCTTGAAGACAGCAAGGCAGGTGGATAAGGTGATTAAGAAAGCATATGGGATCTGCCTTTATTAGTCAAGACACTAAATACAAATGCAGGGAGGCTATGATGAAGCTGTATATAGGCTTAGTTAGGCTACAGCTAGAATACTCTGTGCAGTTCTGGTTGCCACACTATATGAAGGATGTAGTTGCAGTAGAAATGGTGCAGAACAGATCCACCAGGATGTTGCCTGGGCTGGAGCGATTCGGCTATGAAGAGAGACTAGCTAGGCTAGGGTTATGTTCCTTGGAGCAGGGAAGACTGAGCCGGAAATTTGATTGAGGTGTATAAAGTTCTGAAAAGTATAGGCATAGTAGCTGTGGAGAAATTTTTCCCTTTAGTATGAGGTATCAGTAATCACTGTAAAGTGAGGAGCATGAGATTTAGAGGGGATTGAAGGAAAAGCTTTTCACCCAAAAGGAACTCACTGCCAAAAAGGATGGTAGAAGCAGGAATTCTCAAGATATTTAAAAACTATTTAGATGAGCACTTCAAACGTGGTGGCATACAAGGCTATGGGTCAGATGCTGGAAAATGAGATTAGAATAAATGGGCCGAAAGGCTTCTTTCTGTGCTGTAATTCTCTATGATTCACTGTATGAACTGTCCCAACATTTGCGTTAGTGAAGTTGCATGAGTTTTGTTTTGAGAATTGGCTGCTTCTCCTACCTTTGTCATCTTCCATTATGTTTGCAACCTTGACACACTTGTTCCTTCTTATCCTTTTCCTGGTGATATATTTCCAATGCACTTATGTGACATAACCAATTCTTCTTCCTATGATCTGGTGTATTTACCAGATAAAGCACATTACTAACCCTCCTAACTACTTTTTACAGTCCACTGAATTTTACTTTGAGACTCACCTTGCAAAAGCAACACTACAGTACATTGTCTCCTGCTTGAAAAGTTGTTGCTGAATGTTTATCTGCATATTCTTTCATTTTTGCCTGTGAGACTTTCAGGTGCTCCTGTGAGTTTTGCTAGAAATATTGACATGTCATTCAATATTGAGGATTTGTCTTTTTCGTTCAAGAACTTCTCCCCAATCAATTTAATGGTCCTCTAATCTCAAGACCATAAATCAATTCAAATAGATTAAACCCAGTAGATTCATTTGGGGAATCTCTGACAGCAAATAGTAAGAAATCTAATCCTTTGTCCCAGTTTATGGGAATTCATGACAGAATGCCTTAATTATGGTTTTAAGTGTCTGATGGTACCTCTCCATATTATTAAGCTGGAGTCAGTTCAGAAAGGATTTACCAGGATGTTGCTGGGTATGGCAGATTTGAGAAGAGAAAGGCTGAATAGGCTGGGACTTTTTTCACTGGAGCGTAGGAGGTTGAGAAGAGACCTTATAGAAGTTCATAAAATAATGAGGGGTTAATGGTAGTTGTCTTTTGCCTAGGTTGGGGGATTTCAAGACCAGGGAGCACATTTTTAAGGTGAGAGGAGAGATATTTATAAAAGACATGAGGGGCAAATTTTTTACACAGAAGGTTGTTCGCA